GCTAATGTGCAATTACAGGCAGAGATGGACTTGATGTTCGAGTCGAGCGTGAGTTCGACTCGAACATCGGCAGTTCGTGTGTTCGGCTTACACATGAACTGTCAGGTGATCCAGCAGGCTGTTTGCCTGCCGAGCTCCCTAAAAGGCACTGCGCCTTGTGAAGCCCTGATTGGCTAAAGCCTTGCACCTGACCACAGGTCAGGTGCAAGACTTTGCCCAATCAGGGCCCAGTACTCTGTAAGAGCCATGATTGGACAAAGTCATGATAACTTTGCCCAATCATGGCTCACCTGTCAGATGCCGTACAACTGTAAACAGTTGGACAGAATTAGCTGTCACCGCTAGCTTCACACATCTGTCAAAATGCCATTCTGCAGCGGGAGTACGTCTCGAGCGGATGGGACGGCGGTCGTCGTTTTTTAAAAATTATTTCTATTTATTTTTTATGGTTTCATTTTTTATTTTGTCGAGTCGTCGTCATTGTGGACAACGCTAAACGTCGTGAATGTCCCTGGATTATGTCGATGGATCAATTTTTTGGATCTTTATTAAAGGGGTGCCCTGATGTGAATAAGCCACCTGCCCGAAACCCACAACCAACACCCCAGGGCTTGTGGGGAAGAGGCTCTTGTCCCCAGTGGCACGGGGACAGGTGCTTTTCCAGGTTGCGACCCTTGAAAAGCACCTTCCCGGTGCCAAGGGCATGTGGCATGTATCGCGGGGAGGGGGGGCACTCGCTCGCCTAAAGGGCCTGGTATTGTTTGGGAGGGGGAACCGCATGCTTTTTTTTAAAAATGTAATTTCTTTTTTACCCATGTCATTTTTGCTGCAGCAGGTTCTATACATTGTACAGATGTGCCACTTTACAGGCTGTTAAGGGGACCCCCCAGGAATTTTTAATTTTTATTGTTAAAATCACTGCTCCTTTAAAAACGGTATTTAAAAAAAAAAATGTTTTTATTAATTCCTGTCCCCGAGGGCAGTACCCAAATCCCCATACACTTTTATGGCCAATAACTTGCAAATAAGCCTTCAAAATAGGGTCAATTGATTTTCAAAGTTCTAGCCCCATAGACTTGCATTGAGTTCGAATTCAAAAGTTCTAAAGTTTGAACTCAAACTGAACAGTAGGGATGTTCGGCCCATCACTAATTACAGGCTGCGCCTGTCACTCCTGGGAGCAGGTCTCTGCATGGGTGTGCATGCCGGATGGATGTACACGCCCATATGAAGGAGGCCTAAGGAGACTGTCCCATTCAAGGAAAGGAGGTGATGATAAGAACGTCTTTATACAATCTTAACTAAAACTTAAGCCAAATATTGTGGATTTGTCATAATGTAGCCTTTTCTACTGTATTATTAAAAGAGGCATTGGAAGGATAAAAAATCAGATAATACCACTGGAAATAAGTCATGATATATTCAGTCATAATATATAAAAAAGCTCCTATTTTCCCCTATTATTTCATGAATATAATTTTCCAGGGATTCTGAAATAACAAGGGACAGTTATGTGGCATATCCAAGAATAGCAGGCTTTTTATATCTTTGTATCATAATAAGAATGCTAGCGGAGAAACATTAGTAGATACAAATGTAGGCAGGTGGTGGCGGCAGCCTTTACTAGTGTAGCTGTCACTCCATCGGACTCATGCAAGTGGTGAGGTGCTCTGGTGAACACTAAGTCCCCTTCTCAGTTGTCTCTCTATGGTAGACAAAGAGGTTACATGACGACTGCTTACGACGGGTTATATGGGGAGCCCAGCATAGGACCAATGTGTCCTTTATCTGGACTCTGGGCATAGGACCAATGTGTCCTTTATCTGGACCACCATCTTGGGAGGTGCTGTGTCTAATGTGATATGGAGTACTCAATAGAGGCCATCTTGGGTGCATAGGCGCTATAAATAGCACTGGCTGTGCCACAAGTGGGCCATGTGTTACTGGGAAGTAACTGGCAGGGACACATACTTGCTGGTTAGGAACAGTTAGGCAATACCCTTTGGTCCGGAACAGGCTAGATTCTGGGACCCTGTGTCTAGAGGTAGCAAATTCCTTATCAGGGGATCAAGTCCAAGGACAAGCACTTGTGTAGCTGTTCGTCTGTTAGTGGGATACCCAAAGCTAAGAGATTGAGCCTGTTTAGAATCATAAAAAGCATACTTTAAACAGTAACCTGTCTGTATGCCTGAAGTCCTGTCCTGCATTCATGTTTGTTGTTAAACTCCCATTGTTATTCAGAGATGGATTTAAAGCAAAATACAGAGTTCCTGTAATTTTATTTTTTTTCTTTAAAAAAAAGCCCTCTAATCCTTTCATATCCATAGATGTAAGTACTACGTCTGTGGCAGCAGGGAGCTGTAACCACACTCTTGGCTATAGTAGCCGGGAGTGCGTTCACACTTCCTCACCCGATAGTTGCCTTCCACGCAGAAGTGATGCTTTCTACACACCCTGCATTTGCAGCTCCCCCTGCCCCCCCAAGTAATATATTGCGGGCTCTGCTGAGCGGATATACTGAGTAAACATGCAAGTGAATAAACTGTGTTTGATCAGCCTCATTGGGCTGCAAAGGTGACATCAGGTGTCTAATAAACCCCTAATTTTTCCTTAAAGAGGGCTTGTCACCAGATACATGCTATCACATCACAACGGGATATCAAAATTGCAACTGCCACTTTTTTATTCTACAGAGCCTTTGCTTTCAGAAAACATAATTTAGGGGGCTTTCATCAATTTTCAGGCCTAAAATGTGAATCTAATATGTGTTCAAAAAAGGCAAAAACGGCTTTGGCAGTGAAAGGGTTAAAGGAAAAGTTGCGTTGCCTTGTTCCTTTGATTCTCTGCCACACAGAAAGTACCTGCTACACTTGTGTATATATATTTATTTCCTGGCTCACCTCATGTCGGCACACTAATGGGTTCAGTTTTTTATTTCAATTGGGAATCAGTCCTCCCGGGCCTTCGGGATGAAGGGCTTCCCTCGGCGGAGGCGCACCTAGGGAGATTGGATATAGTACACGTCCTTTCCACCTACTTACGCAGGACGGAAGAGTTTCGTTCCACCGAAAGGTTGTTTGTGATGCCTGGGGGGCCAAGGAAAGGAGCAGCGGCATCCACGAGAATCCTGTCTACCTGGGTGGTGAAGGCGGTGCAATTTTCTTACAAAGCAGCGGGTCTTCCCCCTCCACAAGAGGTCAGGGCTCACTCTACTCGATCACTGGCTACGTCCTGGGCAGCCTACGCTAAGGTCCCGGTGGAGGTGGTCTGCAAAGCCGCGAGTTGGTCGTCTTCGAATACCTTCATTCGCCATTACAATGTTGATGTGTCCAGTTCTGTGGATTCGGCCTTTGGGGCATCCGTGCTGTCTTCTGCAGCTGCTAAGGCTTAATAAATATATTTTTGGCATGAGTCCCTCCCATGTTTTGTTTTGCTAGCTATGTCCCATTAGTGTGCTGACATGAGGTGAGCCAGGAAAACGGAAAATTGTTATCACATACTTACCGTAATTTTCCTTTCCTGGCTCACCTCATGTCGGCATAGCTACCCTCCCATGCCTTCGCTCGGCGTGCTATGGAACACGTATGAGGTGGGAAGGGGGGGATTTATACTCTGGTTAGGGGTGGTCCTATTGGTATCCGGGGGTGGAGTTAACCCATTAGTGTGCCGACATGAGGTGAGCCAGGAAAGGAAAATTACGGTAAGTATGTGATAACAATTTTCCGTTATTTGCTGTCCCCAAATGACCTGGGGACATTGATCTGTCATTAAACAATAACAATTGGGCTCCCACTTATTATTCATTGTGTGGGACCTGCTAGAAGACTCTGGCAGGTGTCGGCCAATAGAAACAGTTGGGCTGACCTAGCTGTCACTGCTAGCTCCACCCAATTGTTTTTCTTTTTTTTTCTTTAAAATATTGTTATTTCTTTTTTAATTCTCCTATTTATTTAAATTTTTGAAATAATTTTTCAGATGTTGGATTGGCTGAGTCGAAGTCCCTCTGCACTTCGGCTCAGCCCATTTTTGGAGTTTTGCTTGGAATGTGTCACATATGGCTTTTTTTTCTCCACTTTTTTGTGTCATACCAATACAAATAAAAGAAATAAACATGAGAATGCCTAAACATTTGTAATTGCAACAATTTTCGGCACGAAGTGGTGCATTATCTGACAGAAATGCAGGGGTGCCAATATTTTTGCCCATGACTGTATATATATATCTATATCTATATATATGTATATATAGATATAGATATAGATATATAATGCTTCCATAGAGAAACTGTCAGACATGGCATGCAAATGTTCTCTAGAGGTGCCTGAAAGAAGATATAAATTTCAGAAAATGACACTCTCAGACTGGAGCCCTTAGGATTGCGCTACAGGCAACAGCTGATTAGCTGACAAGTAACTGAAGCACATATATCAAATAGTCAAACAAAGTTTATCCTGTAAACTGGTTGACTGATGAACATGAAGACAGGCTGGGTTGGGGGCCTTTAACAGATACCAAGGGGGATTTCCCGGAGAGAGATTACAAAGGCCATCAGGAACCTTCCGGTGAGGCTCTAAGCAAAATTATTACTTCCTGCTTTTTAATATCACAGGGATCAGAACCATACACTGCACTGCTGTTCCATATTTAGGTCAGCATCTGTCCTAGATGTGCCTAAGAAAAGTGCACTCTGCTTAGGATAATGCTTGAATGTAAAGCAACTTTTTGGACACAGGACATGCAACTTCACTGGAGGCTTTTAGGGTTTCTTGTGGCTTCTTAGTCCAAAGTATGTTCTCTTTTATTTTTCTTTGGAGGGGGGTGTTATAGGGTTTACATCCCCTCATTAAAAATAAAAAAATAAATTTTAGATATAAATAAGATAATGGACAACCTTTTAAAATATTCAATATATGTAAATAATACAATTTTAAACAGTTACATTATATCTGAGATTGATTCTAGCTTCTGTTTCTTTAATCAGTACTAACCTTTTAAACAGCTTGCAGAAAACGGTGGACCATACTCCAGCTGCTTTGGCTTGGATGATGAAGATGGCTGCAGATTTGGTGCCTGTGGCACTTGGAAAACAGGCTTCCCGTTAGTTATGACTTGGCGCCTTGGACTTAAAGCAGGTAAGTGAATAGTGCTTTCGCTGCACTGAGGAGCTACTCCACCTCCAAGAGGCATCTTTATGTATAGGTTGCCATTAGCTGGACTGGGGGTTGCACTGTTAGAAGATGGACAAGGAGTCCCTGTATGCACTCTAATGGGTGGTATCTGCTGCCCACTGATTATTCCAGGTCCCTGAGGGGTGCCAGTTGACCTGTGGTTCATATTGCAAGTTCTTCCATTCATTTTGCTTGGGTTGTACTACTTTTCTTCTAATATGTGGGTACAAGGGTAATTTCCCAGTTGTTAAAGTGTTGCCATTGGGTTGTCTTTAGTGAAACACATCTGTCAAAGAGTAAAAAATAAGAAATCAATGTAAATCAAGTGGAATGATAAAGTTTTCAGTCTAACAAAGGACCACTGAGCATGTCTGTACAAAGGGCACACAGAAACACTGGTAGAAGATGCAGCATGAATATATTAATAATATTAAAGTGTATAAATACCCTTTCAAAACGGAAGCATTTTCATTAAAAGAGGAATGCAAGAAATCTGGAAAAACATGCCAGGCATAGCTTTACTTTGCATGCCAAGAGCATTTTCCTCCAGATAACACATTCTCTAGTAATCAATATACTTCATCCCCTATTGTCTTGCAGTCTCAATGTGTCCTCATTAATTTAAAAAAGTAGAGTGAATATTTTAATGTCTGCTGGTATCTACAGTAATAACATTTTTGTACTTACCATATAAGTCTTTTTTTTTGGAGTCTACTGAGGGACACAGGAATGTAGTAATTCTGGGACATATACGTTATACTGCTGACTTTAGGAGGTTTGGACACTGGCAAACAAAGTAAACATTAAGCCATCCCCCTTATAACTCCCCCTCCTTCAACTGGCAAGCAAGCAGTGAGCAAGCAGAATAAAAGGACAGCAGCAGAGAGGGATGGGACCTGTGCCCCTCAATGAACTAGAAGAAAAACATTTTACAGTACAAAGTACAAAAAATTTATTTTCTTTAGCGTCGATTGATAGATACAGGAATGTAGTAATTCTTAAACATACGGGATGTCCAAATGCAATCCAAATGAGTGGTGATAAACAACCACAGATACATCCAACAGATGTGGAAATCTTACTAGAAGAATATCCAAAGAAATCAAAGACTGAACGTGTCCAGATGAAAAAAAGAGGAGGCAACTACCATAAGGAAAAACAGGTGGAAATGAACTTAGACCAACAGTTAAAGTGATCACTAAACAAGAATGTTTGTAAGGTAAAGCCAAAGCCTAGGGCACCTAACCCATGATCTAGGGGAAAGACATATTGGGCAAAGTATTTCCCCAACCAGTGAACGACTAGGGGTTGAATTCAAATACACATAACTCTTGACTTCAGGGAAAGGAAGATCCATAATATAGCAGCCCTCTCAATAGTAATCTAAAGTGAGACAGGAAAGGAGACCTTCAATGTAATAAGAAAGGAGGACAGAGTATCAAGTCATTTTTAAGGAAGAGATGGAAACATCCATACACCTATATGAAAGGGAAGACTAAATAAGTATATTGTAATGTAATATAAGAATGGGAACCTCAGAACAACAAAAAGAATGAGAAGTAAGGGGTCTATTCACAAAGCTGCCGAGGGCAGCCGAGTACCAACTCACAAAAATAGTAAGGTTTTTAAAAATATATATTTGTAGTTATGCTGTGTAATTGGGAACACATAACAAACATATACTGGGGTTTTCTCAAATTTGACTGCAAAAGTGGAACTACACTTTAAGTAAAAGGCCCTGTTTATGGAAAATGGCATTTCTAAATAATCAGTGGATCCAGATTCACAGACAGTGGAAGTCTTCAATTGCCCCTATATATGCTCTATATGCTAATTTCTTGTTTTCTTGTAATAGTTCAGGTCTTGGCCCAACCATTCTAAGAGGTTGTTTTAAAAAAAGATGCGGAACTTATTAAATAGTAGATCTTTCTTTCACTCCAGGATGATAAAATATTCCCAATTTATAAATTACAGGTTAGTTTAAAAGGAATTTATTTTTTTAACTAGCAAAAAAACACATAAAATATTAGTTTAAGAACTTATGAATATAACAAATGACCCAAAACAATTATAGTTTATTGCTAATTTATTTGTTCACAATGATTCGCTTGTGGTGTATCCTAAAATAACACTGATAATTATACCTTCTAAAATAGGGATTACAAATTCAATCTGATTGACTAACCTTCACTACTATGATTGATGATTGACAGACAGGCAGGCACCGCTTAATAATGCAGAAAAAAAAACAATATCTGATTTCCATCTGTCAAAGGTTTTCTGTTTTGCTCAGCTCTAGGGCACATAATACTCTGCTGTTTGCTTAAAATATTACATTTTGTTATGGTATACTTTAAACATAAGAAAAACACTTCCTTAAAGCTGCAAGGTTACAATGTAGTGTAAATGCATAAGTCAGAAAATCACCGTAATAACTGTAAGGGTTTTATTTTACATTCTTAAAGTGTGAAACTACTATAAATGCCACCAATTATGAGTCTCATTGAATTACAATGGTTTATTTGACAAGATGTCATAGACTGTCACATCTGCAACAGTTAACCACTACACCAATAACTGGCTTAAAGCGAGCCTGTGCCTTGCCCGTTCGTGGCAAAGGAACAGGTTTGCTTTAATCTTCCCATCTCGAGCAAAATATAATTGCCTTGCCTTCAATCTGTTGCATTTTTGTATAGCACTGGCAGCCAAAGGAACTCCTGGTATTTCTGGGCATAGAGGAGCATGTGACTAACTCCATCCGACAGCACTAGGCCAATCATTGTGGTCACAGGGAAGATCCATAGCCTATGTAGGCTACCACATTGGCAACTCATTATTATTATACAGGATTTATATACACAGGACTTTTTCTTTGCTTGTAGTAGCTGAAGTAGTACATATCTGTGTGTTGTGGTGCACTGTAATGAATGTGCATTTACTTAGGGATGCCTTGAAAATAAATGACACCACAATGCACTGACGCATGTGATGCGCATTTAACATGTGTTGCACCTTAAGATAAGTCAGTCAGAAACCACCCTTGCTCTGGTTTATCAAAAAATAAAGTCCAGCATATCTCCCGTCTTTTATAAATTGAATAAAAATGTTTACAATGTCAGTGCTGATATTGTTCATCATCATGATATTAATCATACATTTATTACAGGTATTTATATAGTGCTGACAATTTACGCAGCACTTTTACATAGTTGCACATTCACATCAGTCCCTGCCCTCAAGAAACTTACAATCTAAGGTCCCTAGCTCACATGCATACATACGGGGACAATTTGGAAATGAGCCAATTAACCTTCCAGCATGTCTTTGGAGCGTGGGAGGAAACCAGAGTATCTGGAGGAAACCCATGCAATCACAGGGAGAACATGCAAGCTCCTTGCAGATAGTGTCCTGACTGGGATATGAACCGGGGACTGTGAGTGATGCAAGGCAGAAGCGTAATCACTTTAGTTATTTTTGTATTTTCTTACCATAACCTTGAGAGCCCATTCCCAGTATTGCAATACAATAGCGTGTACTTCACCATATAATAACACAGTGCACTACCAAAACACAATGCACTACTAAAGCAGCCGGGAATGCATCTGCACTGCAGTGCACCACACATGGCATGCATTGTGGTGCACTTCTTCAGAAAAAAGAGATTCATCTTTTTTTTGTGCATTAAGGTATGCTGCCAGGTAAGAGTTTATTTTAAAAAAACAGTCCCCCAGCGGTAGTATAAAACACAAAAAGCAGTTCGGACTGCAATAATGACCTCCAGCGCTGACGCCCACAGTATTCCCTTTCCGCCACTAGATGTGCTCATCTGTGCATAATTCAACCCAGCGGACTGAGGCTGTAATGTAAGTACAAGGTGTTATGGACCTGCCCCCTGAGGAGTCATCACCACAGCAACCCTGCACTCACATACAATGACAACGTCAGTGCCGCACTCTGCATCATTATTGCAGAAGATCTCAAGAGGAAGAGGACCCAGAGCATCACATCACTGACCTGGAAACATCTGTAAAAGGTAAGTAAAAAAAAAAAAGCTGCAAACTTGGGGACAGTCTGGGGCCCAGAATTGGGCTGTAACGCAGCACACACTCATGCATGTTGGGGTTTCACAATGCATAGTGTAAATAAGCCCTAAAGCATTTTAAGCTGCCATGATTTTTATTGTGGTCAAATATTCAACTTTCTCGTCTTAGAAACTGTGGTTATAGTATTAGGCTTAAAGAGCAAGATTTTCTAAAACCTTATCTTCCTGCTTCTACGGTTAGCTCAATGCCTCTCCCAGGCAAATAGCTAAATGGAATATGGTGACACTGGAAACATCTTAAAGCAGATCTCCGGGAATTTGAAGAGTTAAGCCTTGCTGAGGGACATACCCCCGCTGAAACCGAGGGGGAGAGAGGCTGCAGGGAAAGGTCTAGCAGCCAGGCTAAATAGAGTATCAGGTAAGTATATCTTTGTTATTTTCACTCTCTAGACAAAATAAGCAGTTACCCTTGCAACATGGGGGTAGCCCCACTGCAACGGTTAACTTTTAACATTTCTGGAGTTCCTTTTTAACCCCTTTGTGACTGACGACGTACAGTGTACGTCGCCAGCATCGGGGCTGTTTAAACAGACTCCCGGCGACTTTTGCCGCCGGGAGTCTGTTTAAACTTGTAGAGCCGACTGTCGGCTTTACAACAGAAGCGATCCTGGCGACTTACCTGTCGCCAGATCGCTTCTGCGTCCCGAAGAAGGGGCCGCCCCACAGAAAATATATAATGTTGGGGGGTTTTACGTCATTTTCAGGCCTAAAATGTGGAATATAACATGGGAGCAAACATTGAAAAAAGGGCCTCAGTCATGAAGGGGTTAAAGTCTGATCTACTGTTTATTTCATCTTTAGTGGTTCCTTGCAGGACCTTTCACAAAACACTTCTTTTGAAATTGCCTATCTCAGTATCCGCAGACAGTATCAGGTAAGGAAAAGCAATATAGTTTGCCAAAATTCATACTATGCAATTAATTGCTTTGACTTGGAGGTATTTGTGTTTTTCTAAATAAAACTGGAGGTTCACTTTAAAAGTTGCAGCTTCTCCACATTATATAAAATGTGGTTTCCCTATCTTCAATGGCAAACAAGCTCAAACAGGTGTAGAAACCTTAGATAACTAATACTATAGTAAACAGGTTCTGGATTCATAGCTAACCACAGAAGGTCAACTGATCATTTGCAGGTTATAAATAAAACCTTTCTTTC